TCCTTGGTCAGCAGATGTTTTCCTCTGATATGGGATTTAGTCTGGGTCTCTGGCCAGTGGAAGCCTACTGGTTGCTTATCTTACTGTGTGACTGACCATTACACTGTTTTCCATAGTGGCAGCACCATTTTACCTTTCTATGAACAATGCACAAGAATTCCAATATCTCCATATCCTTAACAAGACTTGTCCCACCCCTACCCTCTTTCATTTATAGCACGATTCATCAGAAGATATAATTCAGGAGAAAACAAGGCCACAATTATTAAATCTCAGAAAAGAATAAAGAAAAAATGCTTTTACAATAGCTGAGGGATATTGCAGGAGACTGGGTGAGTCAAATTTTTCAAGTGAGAATACTGAAGCTGGTCATATTTTGGAGAACACTTTACAAATTAAATGTGTATCTCTAAGTTCAACGTTCACATTCATTAATACACTATATTTATCTGGTAGGACTAAATTGGCCTTTGGTCAACTAAAGATAGAATTCTTGCAGACATCTTTCCATATATGGCAACATTATTAGCTAATTTTAAAAGCATATAGTCATGCATTTGGAAATCAGTGTCATTGGCAGGAATAATCCTCATACAAACAATGAGATGGTAGGCAATTAGGACAGTCAAGTTTAGATCAATTTTGTCAGGGCATATCAACTAAGAGGCTCTTGCTTTGAAAGAGCAGAATAAGAATCTGTTAAATTATGGAGAAACACTTGATTTCAGAGCTCTTGTCAACAAAGGAATCAGTGTAAGTAGTGGGGTCTGCATATGTCAGTCTATTGGGGTTACTACTAGACCTTCCCCTTCCACCCCTGCCCCTCTTTCCCCAACCCCGAAACAATCATTCAGAAATGGAATGGTTTTAGGACTATGTTGACAGAACATAGTATAACAATGCTAGAGTCAAGTAGCAGTTCAGGGGTTAATCTCACTGATTCCTGTACCCTAATATAGGCAAGTGCTGCTTCCTCTTTTGAGTGGTGCTATTTGAGCTCTCAAGTACTTAATTTAAAAGGGATATAGAATGCCTAGTTTTGAAATTCTATATTCATGGAAATGGGGATTGTGGGTTTTAGCCTGCTGTTTGGCAAGCCCTCAGCCCAGATGGGGTTCAGTAATGACTTCTATAAGGTGTTTAATCAGACCCTAGAAGAGCACAACTGCCATGTTTAATTATTCCAATTTAATGGAGCATTCAGCTAGATCCTGCTTGGTTTGCTATCCATGATTATGGGCCTGGGGAAAGGGGCAAGGGCCCAGACACCCAGGCCCAATTTATGTTATACACGGTGATGGCGAGACTGCCAGCCTCTGAAATCTCCATCTGCAGAATGTATTTATAGTTCTTCTTTCTGAGCCAGAACCAATTTAGTCAAGGCAGACAATTTACTGAAATGCTCTGACTTTGTATCCCCCTTCTGTGCAGTCTTTCTCACAATTTCACTGGGTAAGGGAAAGCTGGGAGATTAGCTGATATTAAAACAACAAAACATGCAACACTAGTGATTAACAGCCTGATTGATGGGTATTGATGTCCAGGACACTGGTCGTCTAATCCTTAATTTTGTCAATAACTCAGCTCCATTTTATGAGCCAAAGGATATTTGCATGTTGAGGGATGGATTTTTTTTCTCATTTGCTCTTCAGAAAAAACACACTACTTTGGAAATTTTGGGCGTATAGGATACAAGGTGCAGAAAACAGAAATCAGTGTTTTTCAGTTTGCCAATGCTAGTGATAATTATACAAAACTTTTGATTTTAAGAATTTAAGAGGGTGTTACTTTTCTGATATAAATATGAGCTGTAGGTAACAAAGACTTTTAAGTAACTTAAAAAGTAAGAATGCTATTTTGGGGGGGTGACACTCATTTGTAAAACTCAAAAAGAGTTTTTTGTTGTTGTTGTTGTTCTTGTTCTGAAGATTCAGCCTTATTTCTATTGTTGCAAGTCAGGAAGCTTGGTCTTTGGGGTAATTTGGAGGTTGCGGGTCAGAAACCTCATGACTCTTACAGTGTCTTGCCATTTTTCTTCCCATGAAGAATGAACAAATATGTTATCTGCCACCGGCCTCTGAAATGGTATTGAATTAAACCCAGTCAACAACATCTACTTTCTTTTCTGCTCACAAGTGGCTTGTCTGAACTGTGTGCACCATGCCCAGGGAACAGGCTTCACAGTATAAGCCCAAAATCCAGACTCAAGTGAATTAGAGCTGACGTTTCTTACTAACCAGGAATTCAAAGGAGCAAAAATATCTGTAAAAATCTTTATCACCTCCACCCTGCTTCCACAACCCCATATTGAACACTGAAGAACAAACACTGGCTTGATTTCGGATTACTTAATAGCATCCAGAAGCTGGAATGCAAAGACATGGGACTTTGTTTCTTAGAAATGTTCCCAGGAATGTATTTCAATGCAACTGTGGTGCTGCAGAGGATGACCAGGTTTTTCTTGTAACATGCCTTCTATCTTGTTGGAAACGAATAGGTTCCTCTCTTCAGGAAGTTATTTTTAGTTTCTCAAAAACTAGAGAGGAATGGTTGGTGGTTGGTCCATCTAAATTTCATGTTCTCTCTCACCATAGTTCTAGGTATCTCGAGATGTAAATACTGACTTGACATTTTACATAAAGAGGAAGTGATTTTAATATTCAGGGCCTCTGCTGTTAACCAGTTACAGGTCTTTGTCAAGAAATCCAACAAAAACACTGCTCTTAGTGTCCTTTAAAGATATTTGATCTTTACAGACAAGTTACAGTTTATGACTTTATGGGTTCCTAAAGCCTCCTGGTTAATGATATGTACTCAAATTCTGCATTTTAATAGACTAGTGGGGTAGGTTCCTGACATTTCAAAAGATAATTGCAGTATCAGCAAAAGTAGGCTGTATTGTTACACTCTCTCCTTTACTCCAAATGTAACATTTTTAATGATAAACCTGCTCACTGATACTGAAATAGCAAGATAAAAGCCTCTAATATGCAAATTAGCTTTAATTGTCACACTAGAATGGCCTTAATACATAATAGATCACTCCATATGGTAAGGAAAAAAAAATACTAATTATTCTAAATTAAAAATAATTATTTTTAGTGGATATATTCCAGTATTTAGTGTTTTTCCCCAGCAAGACCTCCTAGAAAGTCAATGTCTTTAGTTGTTAAGGGGCATGTTTTTTAACAGTGTTCCCCAAGGCACCAGGTTGTAGGATACTCATGCACTACTGGAAGATGAAAGGGATTTTCTAGGATTTAGCAGTTGACTGGACACATCCATTTGAGAAGTTTAACAAAATCACTGGTCATCTTCTATGACAGGCCCTTTGGAGGGAGATTTGAGAGTTTACCCATTATCTTGTCAGTAGAGACTGAGAAGTAATTTCTTCAAAAAAGACCTATTCATGTTTGTCCCTAGGTGCACTGTAGGAAGGCAGGATGGCTCCTTTAGCTAAGTTTGGGCCAGAATACTTTATTTTTCTCCAGATGATGTCAACCTTTCCATTTGCTTAAGCTGCCCTGCAAGGTAAAAGTATCCACCTCTGCTCATCTGATCAATGCAGAAGAGCCAGGAAACCGTAAGAAATATTTATAGAAACTGCATGGAAAAAACACAGTTCATCTATCCCTCTGAAACTTAGAGCTCATGCCTTAATCAAGCCTTTCCTTCCTCTCTCTCCACCCTCTCAGTAGTTGTGAGAATTCTAGTGACAAATCCGTTGTTAAGTGTGAGCCTCCTACTACTGCCCAGAGTCTCAGCTCAGCGTGGCCCAAGCCCACCATCTCTCATCTAGATGGGTTTTCCTTTTTTAGTCCTTTCCATTATACCAGAGGCTGGTCAATTACACTGGAGAGTGACCTGCAGAGCATGGATCTTCGAGCTTTAATAGACATTTGCCCTATCCGATTCATGTTCTTTAGAAGTCTTAGACTTTTAAGCTGTTGGTCATATTATGCTGCTTTTCCTGCTTCAACAACTCCCTTTTGATTTAGAGCAAGATCCAGAATCTACTGTGGCCCACCATTCATTAGTGACCTTTGACCTCTTTCGACCCACTCATCTCCCACCACTTCCCCATCACTAGCCACTTGGGGCTCATCCTGACTAGGAACCAATTCAGGGTCTTTGAACTCTTTGTCCTTCTGTCTGGAGTGCTCTCTTCCTACTATCTAAAGTCACCTATCCTTGGAAGTCTCCTCCGAGCAACTGTCAACATCTCAATTCTTCATCATAACTGAATGACTTTAGCTGCTATCTCGTAAGGTTGCTATGGAGATAACGAAGAGCTCAGATCAGTGCCAGCACAGAGTAACTATTCAAAGAACGTCAGTTGTTACGGTAATTATTTAAGAAAGCCCATTCCAGGCATTCTTCATTTGTGTCTCACATTTTGGAAATACTCTTCTGTCTGTCTACCACATCAGAGGGCCTGTCCCTTTAGCAGTAGTGTCTAGCTGATTCTGTTCATGGTCGGCCCTGCAGCCCTGAGCACGGAGCTCAAATACTGTACCGAAAAGCGAGGGGAGGAAATTTATCGGGTGGGTCCTGAAGGCCACCACTCCCTGACCACTACATTCACTGAGGGCATTTTGCATGTGCCTGGACTTCAGAGTGGGCCACTCTGAGAAACTGATGTAGTCTCCTGCTATGTCTGCCATAGGAATTAGCATGTTTTCAATACACACGCCATGGCAAGTCCACTTGAGAAATCCCACTGATGGTAAATTGTTCATCTCCCATTCTTGATTCAGCTCTGTTCTGAAGGTGGAAAACTCTGCACCTTCCTCTGTTTTCCATCCCACTCTGGGTCATATTCTGTCTTTTAATTTACATTTGATTCATATTTAAAGGTTACTGATTTCTGATTCCTTTTCAAATTCCTACTATTTCATTGTATGTATTTTCCTGTAAGAACACACCAAATTCTTTGTTGGAGAATATGCTAATAAAACAAACAAAGGTGACTTTGGATAAATCAATTAACTTGAACCTCAGTTTACTGAGCTGCAAAATGGAACTCCCTCCACCAAGGAAACCATTAGGACTCAATGAAAGGATGCATGTAGCAGCCGACAGAGACTAGTTGCTCTTTAACTCACTGTGGAATTCTGTAAGAAGGCAGTTCCATAGTCTTTAATAAGGATTAAGATCCTGAGTGACCTCTATATAGCCAGATAGTTGACATATCAGAACATCACAATCTATTCACCTGACAACATCATTTTACTTCTGTGGACTCTTTGAAACATTTATTAAAAAAGCAAAATGTATGTTCATCTCAAATAGAACAGTTAAAAATGGTAAAGCAATACAAACAGCTTGTTACTAGCAGCATCCAGTTGTTAGTCTCCGGGCCCTGCTCGTCCTCAGTCTGTTCTGGGCAAGCTCAGTCTTGCCTGAGCTTGCTGCTACCTACACTCCCTCCTCCTCCTCGTGCAGGTGAAACCAAAGTTTATAAAATTAACAACTTAAGGTTAAATAAGCTTAAATAAGGGTGTTAAATACAAGACACTTCATCAAAGCTTCTGTACAAAGATAAACAAATTTGGCATTGGACAGGTGATTCTGCTGGCTCACACGGACAGGAGGGTGCTAGCGAGGAAGCAGATGTCCTTATTTCAGCAGAGCATTAACTATACAAAAGTGGACTAAGAGTTCAAGTGACTACTTAGTGCGCCATTTACAAGGCATATGTATCTTTTTTGTTTGTCTTTAAATCAGAACACTGTTAATATTCAGGCACCTTTTGTTCCTGCAAATAAATAAGTCTCTAAGATAACTGCATTCGAACTAGTGTTAAACATCAGTGCTTCCTTTTGTTTCCAGACAAGGCGTTCCCAACTACTCCCTAGGCCTCTTTCTTATTGCTATGATAATGTGGCTGTGGAAATAAAACTACTGTACATCCAAAAAAATAGAGCACCTTTAACATTAAAGTATATGTCTGATTATCTGTTTCCATGTTTATTTTACATTTCTAAAGCCCAAACTATGGTCAATTGCTTTAACATCCCTACCAGGTCACCTGATATATAGGAAATAAAACCCAACTAGCTTCTTCCCTCTTGAGGTAAGCCCATGCCAGAGCACCATTTTAGTAGAGTCACAAAGAAAAGGTCCGAGCTGACACCAGGGTTTACATTCATCTCGACACGGGGAGTTACATTCATCTTCGCACGGCCTTCCCTCCGCTGTCACGCGATGGCTACATGATGGGCCGAGGCTGCCTGGCCTGCTGGGTGGATGGCGCTGGACAGAGAGGCAGAGCAAGAACATTTACGATTGGCTGAAAGCACAGTTAAAACCACATGTTTGTGACTTTGAAGGGACGCAGGGTGTTTCCCCAGGTCCCGTGATGGGGTACAGTTGGGTTAAGATTTTTTGTCAATGGTGTTGAAAAACCACTCAGTGAACTTGCGCAGTTGAGCTGTGGCTGTCTGGGACTCCTCTTGAAGCCGCATGTTGTCTTGTCGCAGGTGCTGCACCTCAGCTTGGAGCACAGCCTTGTCCTGCTTTTCCTGGTGAGAGTAGAAACAGACTGAGCCACACATACACATTCTCTCCTGCCAAGCCACAGCCAAGAATCCTGTATCCCCCCTGTTTTTCCTTTCTGAGGGGTGGGAGGGGGGTGGGGAGAGTCACTCAAAAGTGACTTGCCTGGTCTAGGTTGTTGCCAACAATGAGGAAAGGGAAGGACTCAACACGTGATCTCTATCCATCCACTTTGCTCCCCACAGGCGTCAGGATTATTGTCCACAGTATATGTCATCCTCTCACCATAAAAAAGGAGACTACGGGGAGAGGTTAAAAGCAGAGACCTTTGACAAATGCATGGAATTTTCTAGGTCAAGGTTGGTTGTAACACAGCTATACTGATCCTACAATATCTTTAGAAAGTGAGGACTCAGGCCTTCCATCCCAGCTTAGAGTTTTCCTGCACCAGTATTGTTCATGTTGACCTAAAAGGCTTGTAATTAAAAATTAGATAAAAATAGTCAATATTTTCTCAGAATACTCACATGTGGGGTTTTCAAGATACAGTAGCAAGAAAATAATAATACAAACTTCCTTTCCCAGATGCTTCCCATTGGCTTGCTCCCAATAGAGAAAGGGTCCCCATCAGATCTTAACAGTTGGTATTTTTTTAAAAGGCTCTAATTTGACTGCTATGTCTACCAGGTGACCCCCAGCTCCAGACCAGATGGCTGTGTGGGGTTAGCCTATGGCCGTAGCCTCAGAGTAGTGTTCACAGTCTTGGGTGACCAATCTGCTCTAAGGTTTGTTTCTATTTTTTGATCACTCCTCAGTCTCCTCAACATCATCTGCCTCCATGATACCTCCAAAAGCCAGAGGAGGCTTCAGTTACTTCCTGACACCTGAGTTTTCCATCAGGGCCAATCTCAGTCCAGCCCATGCCATGACTTTCCTTAGTAACTTCAAGAGGTTTGAGTTCCTAAGTGAATGCACCACCAGGACATTCACTTCCACTAAGGCTTAGAACATCCCCAAGTCCCTGCTGGGACACAGGTGTTCACCTCTCAGTGCCTATACAGAAACCACACTGCTGTGATCCATGGAACTCATTCTCTGTCTAACTCTCAACCTAATCCCTTTCATCTTCACACTCTAAATGAATCCTGGCTCTCTCTTGAGGACACTGCTTCCCCAGCAGCTTACTCATAGGTGAGAGATTTGTTCTGCCACAGCCTGAGGCAGTCAGTTTCCCTCCCTGTTCTTCCAGACCCCTGCTCCTTCTGAAAAATTCTGGGTGCTTTGAGAAGCGTGGCATTAGATTTTGAGACCAGACACTCCTGCTCACTGCAACTATCTATTGTGTCTCTACATCCATCATTATGTGTCTCTCTTCCATCATTAATGGAAGATTCTAGAGCATGATACACTCTTCTCCTCTCCCCTACTACTTGTCCTATTTGTTGATGATATCAAATCTACTTAAGATGCTTCACCTAATTCTGTCTCTCCATTATTTCTTTCTTAGGATCTTGAAACCACTCCTTCTCAACCCCCCCCAGTACCCAGTCATAGCTGCTAATGCAGCAACTATTAATTGTATGTTTTATTAAATGCTTCAAGCCCTTACTTCCTCACCACTACACTCATGTCTCTTTAAAATAATTTCTCTGGTATCCATTCCTCCAACAACTGCTTAGCTCACCAGCCTTACAGAGCTTCACTGTCCACAAACCCCCCTCTGCATGATCACTTCTCCTCATCCAGCTTAGATTGTCTTTCAGTTTAATCTTATCCTATATACACCCAGGGTTCTTGTCTCTCTCTGTCTTGGTTTCCTATCTAAAGTCTAAAATCTATGGAATTCAACTCTCCAACTATTCTATGCTGATGACTGGTCTGGAGTTATCAGTCACCCCAGTTTCCTTGGGACTTTGCCCATTCTAGCCCTGAAAGTTCCGTAGCCTTGTATACCTTCCCATCCCAGGTAAAATGGGACAGCTGGCTGTTTGAGCTGGAGAAAACACCAACCTCTGCTGACAGATTCTACTAACTTATGCTGCAAATTCAAGCTTTCAGCCCTGATCAGCAATTCTATTAAATATACTTGTCAGGCCCTCCCTGATGGTACAACAGGTTAAGATGCAGCACTGCAAGCTGGCTGTAGCTGCGTCAGTGTGAGTTCGATCTCTGGCCCCAGAGGTGATCCACATAGTGAGGCAGACCTCTCCTGACCTGCCTACTGCTCCTCTCAGCAGTGTATTTCGTTGATCTGCCTGTTCTGCTCCCCACTCTGTATCTGGTGAATCCGCTCACTGCCCCTGCACCTTTGGCTTGTATCCCAGTTCTTTATGCATAAATAATAAATAAATCTTTAAAAAAAAAAGCTACTTTAAAAAATTATATACTTTTTTTTTTTAAAGATTTATTTATTTATTCATACAGAACTGGGGTACAGGCCAGAGATGCGGAGGGTGAGAGGATTCACCAGAGACAGAGTGGGGAGCAGAATAGGCAGATCAACGAAGTACACTGCTGAGGGGAGCAGCGGGCGGGTCAGGAGAGGTCTGCCACGCCATGTGGTCACCTCCAGGGCAGGCGGGGATCGAACTCATGAGGAAGTGGCTTTAGTTTCTCAGTGCAGTGCTTTAACCCGCTGCGCCACCAGGGAGGGCCGAAAAAATTATATACTTTTTATACTCCTTCCTCTTACTCACTCTCAGCTCATACATGGAAAAAAGTGACAGAGAACTCTACCATCTACCTCTGTCTGGACTGCGCTGTGACTATATGTGAGCATGGTATGCACAGGCACATGCATACACGCACAGACACACACACACCCTGTTCTTCTCTGGTCACTACATGTCCACTCTCTTACCCACTCCAGCCTAGCTCCTCCTTGTGCACTAGATCATCCCTCACTCATCACTCTTACCATCATTTCCTTCCTAACTGGATCATTTCCATCAACATTCACACTAGTTGTAATTTCTCCCTTCATCAATCACAGCAGTAAAATCCTCCTCATGACACTTCCTACCCTCCAGCTACTACACCCTATTTATTTCAGTGGACAGCAAAGTGGCTGCCTGGCACAGCATGAAGGTGCCATGCGACTATTTGGAAAGTGAATTCTTTAACTACTTTTGAAGCCCAAAGATGCCCAAGTTGACTGATGTGTTAGAAGTTCTGAGACCATAAGACTGACTTGGGGATACAGTAACTTGGGGAGACCAGGATTTCTGATAGCAATCAGATTCTCACAGGTGAGCTAGTAAATGGTGGGTATGACTGACAACTCACTGACCTGAAAATGCTGGCCTGCTATATCCATCTACCTCCCATGACTAGCCATCAGAGGCCTCCTCCTCATCTAATTTTATCTATTGGGATCCTGCTGTTCCCCTAGAGGAAATATACTGTTGCAGACCAGAATTAGGCCTAGAAGTCTCCATTTCCATTCACTGTTGGGTTTTGATTAGGAAAAGTTATCTTTCCTGAGTCTTCTCATTGTCATTTGTAGTTGCTAAAGGGGTCATTTTTGAACGGGAAAGAGCTGATCACGGACTTCCAAGAGATTGCCTCACCTTCCGCAGGTCAGTCTGCAGTTGTCGAAGGATTAATTCCAGTTGATTGACTTTACCAGTCAGCGTTGAAGGAGACCGCTCCCTAGCAGATAAGGCAAGAATTTGAGAGTCTAGACTACTGACATGAAGACATTTCACCTAGCATTTCTGTTGGTCAAGTTTTTACTCAAAAAAAAAAAAAAAAAAATTCATGTGCTTAGAGCTCAGCAAGGACATGAACATAGATTTGAAAAGTGAACATGTTACTGCTTTGGTGGAAAATCTCTCCTAGGTTTCTTTGATTTTAAAATGGGTTCAGAATCTCTATGGGCACACATGTTGGTACAAAATCAAAAGATTATGTAAATTTAGGCAACTGAGACTAGGTAGACCAGGATGAAGCCCTGGGTACCAAATACAGATTTGATTTCTACCATTTGCCTTTCTCTGTCAAGAAAGCATCTTGCAGCTCATGAGGAAGGTGAGCATGCAAATTCATACAACTCAGTTCACATAAATGCTGAGATTAGGAATGGATGTCCGAGTAAAGAATATATATTTAGTGGACAATAAACTTAACAGGTATGTAGACAGGCAAAGAGATGGCTTATTCTCGACATACTTGAGTGGCACGTGTAAGGTCAGGTGAAGCACGAGGGAGGCAAATTCTCCCTGGCAGGTCAGTTGGGCAGATGGAAGAGTAATCCGTGAGGTGTCCCTGTCCAACACTGTTGCAGCAATAAGTTGCAGGCACTGATCCCCAGGTCCACCCCTCCCTTTCTGTACACGTGCCTCCGAGTGGGCATGGGGCTGCAGTCTTGGCAGGCTGGCTGCCGACTGAGCAGAGCAGGTAGGTTGTCCAGTGTGATCCACTCAAGCAGGACAGGCAGCTGATTCAGCCCGCTCAGCCCCATCTCTGGATTCTGAAAGACTAGGGGAAGGCAGGGATGGAATGGCATTTTGGCTGGCCTGGGATTAGCTGACACTTCCTTAATCACTGGGGTCTAGGATGGAGGAATGAAGGGGATTCACAAGAGTGCACATACCCAGTTGTATCCATGAAGTCTTTGCCACTGCCTGGATCTACACATAAAGGCAGCTGCTGGGCCCCTTCCAAGTCTTGTCCATGTTGCATATCCGTCATGGTGCAGAAGGATGCCACTCTCTGATCTGAGGAGGGAAGATGCACATACAGAGGTTTAGTAATAGCTATAAGGCAATGTTTCTTCATGGGAATGAATTTAGTAACTCAGTATAAACCCTAGTCCCCCATCAGTTTCTGCCCAGTTTCAAACAAAACAAAGAAAAGCAAACTCAGACAAGGTGCTGACAATCAGAAAGCATTGGCTGTCCTCTGGCTGTATGGCAAACACACATCACAGTCCCAGGGACCATTAGCAGATACTGGATTTGCTAGAGCCAATTTGCTTTCAACTTTCCATGTCCCAAGAAATGCCAAAGCTGCTGGAGGGGCATGGAACAACAGGCTGGCTAGTGACCTGGCCAATGACTAGAACCATGGAGACAGATCTTTCCTCCAGCTCTCCCCAAATGAAGAGAGCAGCTGGGAGACACAAAAGCCAGGACACATCTCCCCTGTATGTCCCCAGCCCTCCAAACTTGAATAACCATGCAGACGTGCAGACATATGAAATATAAAGAAAACATTGCAGGCTATCAAGAACCCACACTCAACCCCAGACAATCACCTAGATAGGACGTGTGGTGACAGAGCAGCCCAAGTTCTTCGTCTGAGTCAAGACCTGAAATAAGATTTAGAATTTTCCTATGAACAGTAATATCTCTCTGCACTTGACAGCTTCTGAGGCCTATATAAGTAAGGCTCAAATAATGGGGTCCTGTGAACTAGGCTGTGTGCATGTGTTTGTTCACCTGCCTGCACTTGCATGTGCACATGTCATCCTAAACGAGAAGCCCTGGAGAGCCATGTCATGCAATGCCCAGTACTGCGATTATTGATACCTTTCTTCTTCTTCTTCTTTTTTTTAATTTTTAAAGTTACTTATTAATGCATACAGAACTGGGGGACAGGCCAGAGGTGCAGGAACAGTGAGAGTATTCACCAGAGACAGAGTAGGGAGCAGAACAGGCTGACTGACAAAGTACATTGCTGAGGGGAGCAGTGGGTGGGTCAGGAGAGGTATGCTGTGCCATGTGGGTCACCTCTGGGGCTGGGGATCGAACTTGTGATGAAGCAGTGATGGCCAGCTTCATGGTGCTGTGCTCTAATCCCTTGTACCACCAGGGAGGGCCCTGCCCATTTCATGGGCAATGGTCCTGTGAGATGCAGAGCCATTACATGAAATAACCACAGCGGTGTGCAACACAAGCAAATCCAACTGCAAGATATGTGCCCATTCTGGGTTTGCTTCAATGACCCACTTCTACTCTAAGAACATAAAGATTGGTGGGGAAATATTAGCCACACAGTCTCACTAGAGACCTTAGAGGACACTCTTGAGGGCTCAGTACTTCCAGCATTAACAGACTACACTGCCTTATCTATTACAGGGTCCCTTTTATTCTTGGCAACAGTAATTTCACATTCACTGTCCTGAAAGCTAAAGGGAATGGGAATACCATATTCTTTGGAACAGGTACTAGGTGGATCCAGCTCTGGGCGTCAAAGCACTGACACACAAAAAGCTGGTCTAGAAATACTGAATGGCCTGCAGAAAAAAGTCCTAACTTTGAACAAGGTAGAGATGGAACCAGGGATTACCTTGCGGCCCTACCCCCCCTGTTTCCCAGTGTCCCGCGCTTGGGCAGGGAGCAGAGTACAGCATCCATCTATGCTGAGAATCTGAGGAATACTGCAGGGGGTGATGCTTTGGCGTCTTATTCACGATTTGATGAATGGCTGAGAAGCGGCACTTGGGTCTGTCTCAGATGTGCTCTGTTGCTAATTTAGCCCTCTCTGTCCACCTCTAGCTGCTGGATGAGTCTCCTAATGAGGCTACCTACTTGTCTGGTTCACAGAAGGTCATGTACTTCCTGTTAATCAGTAAGGATGGTGATGGTGAAGGCTGCCGGAGCACACGAAGAGGATCCGGGCTGGACTGTGAAGGGCACAGCACTGGAGGCAGCAGGCAGAGGCCCAGTGGTCGCTGGAAGTGGAGCTGAGCATGTACTGCATGATGGGTCAATAGGAAGCTCACTGGCCACACCACCTATGTCCTGCAGGAGGACTTCTCAGTGCTCACGGCAGGCACATACTCTTATTTCTTAGTTTAACGATATCTTGGCTGACACTTCAAATCTTCTACAAAATGATACATTCTGTAACTATGCATTACTGAGATAATCATGTTCCCAATTTGGTACTGATTAGGAGGGTTTTGGCACATGATAAAATAATGTGTGATTTAATTAAGATTAATGGCAAGAACTGGGCACTGCCTACTTTAACACATGATAGGATGTGACCTGCAGAGGCGGGGGCAGGAATTATGAGAAATGCTTGGCAGGGGGTGAGCAGCTCTCATAGTGGGATGGGGAGGGCCTGGATTGCCATTGTGTCCAAGATAACCCTTTGTTCTGTGAGGGACCCAAACAAACAGACGGCTCATGCTTAAAATATAAATCAACAGCAGATGGATTCTTATTCGACAAAGAATTAACTACTACAAAAAAGGAATGGCAAAAGAAAATCGTTTATTTTTCTCACTTTTTAAAAGAGCTCCACTGACTGGCCCACATTTTATGCAATCTAGTGATTATCTGGTTAGTTTCTATCTTCTTATGTATTTGGCTCTGATAGTTGTCTAAAAATCTGGATGACAATGTCTTAGCTTCTGTCCTTCATTTTTACCTTAATTGATAAAATACCCATATATTTGCCAGAAACAGAACTTGCTACTGGCAGTCTTTCAAGCATTCCTTGTGGGAGAAACTAGGTCCTACTGGTCAGGAGGCAAGAAGCCAAAAATAGAGTTTTGCCAGCAATGTAATTTCACAAAGAGGATTTCACTTTGGATCTGAAAAGCCTGGGAGGTTGAAATGCAAACAGAATGCTACTTGATTAAGTACAGACACTAAACTACTTTGTAGAATAGCTAATCTTAGTGACAATTTCCAGTGGAAGCTCTATTCCTCCACAGCTTATTTTTGTGACGATAAATATTCAGTAACCAAGTAATTACTGACATTGAACCAAATGGCACAAACTAAACAGTAAGAAAAGGGAGAGAATGAACTCCATGAAAAATGGTTAGCACAGCAAAGATATAATCACCCATACTTTACATAAGCAGTCTGTTTATTTTTTTCCCTTCCGTTCTTTTCTGTGTATGTAAATTGGGCTAAGATGGGACATGAGGCGTGGCTCACACACAAAACAATTTGCGCCTTTAAATAATCTTTAAAAAATCTATTTTGATTCAAGTTTCTTATCTTAGTGCGCTTAGCATGAAACAAGAAATGAATAGCCATCAGGCAATTCTATATGTATTTAGAATTGAGATAGCAGAACAACTGCCATCAATTAATTCCCATGACTCCAGATAGGGTGCCTGGAGTGTCATCAGAATATGGTGTGGCCAAGGCTGGATCTGGGAGGGATGAGTGCTCCAATCAATTAGTCATGTCTGTTGAGGACATGGCACAGAAGACTACTACATTTGCTAGATATATACCATATGGGCACAGAAGTATGAGGCTAGATTAAACTAGTTCTGTTTCCACAAAGCTGTTCTAATATATTTTTGCTACAACTATACATTAAAGTATGGGGGGACTTTGTAGCTACATGTAGGAATGAAAGTTTCTCATTCTGAAAACTTTATCAGAGTATGGAAACTTGACTTAAATGACAACCTGGAGAGGAGTAAAAATGGCTACACTGACATACTCTGGCTTAGGTCTTTTGCAGCCCACTGATGAATGTAGGATATTGGCCTTGAATGTGCTTACAAGTAGCGAACAAAAACAAAACAAAACTCTGAAATTATTATTTTATGTAAGATACAATTATTATTGTTGGCTTGAAACATTTTTCTTACTTTTGAAATACTTTTAGCCAACTTAATATATTAACTTTGCATTTTTCACCTAAATAGCAGTTTTGCTTTTCTATTTTTTTAAATAAACTATGCTATTTTAGGAGTTAGACAATGTGTCACATTTTGTATGCGTGTGTACACATGCAGTCAACTATCAGTAACTTGAATTACTTTATCAATTTTAAACTGAAGCTTTAGAACTGAAAGCTTCTCATAAAAATTTATGCTTATTATGCTCTGTTTAAGAAAATCAGGACATATGGGACAAAATATGTTAAAAGTCTTGAACTTTCATCTTTTTTGGAAAATACATATATCATTCCCATGTAATGAGCTGATAGTGAGTAGTGAATTTGGCTTGTTTTAGATACAGATATTCATTCATAAGCACACACCACAGCCTAAGAGAAGATGACAATTACCATTGACTTCTGGGAGGTGTTGCTTTCCAGCATGGAGGAGGGGCCTTTGGTGATGTGGGGTCCATGTATGCTGTGTAGGACCCTGACAGCCAGAGGCCCCCATCACTACTTCATACTTTTACCTTTTAAGCCTCTTGTTTATTTTTTAAAGATTTTATTCATTATGCATTCAAGAACTGGTACAGGGGGTGAAGAGGATTCATCAGAGCCGGAGTGGGGAACAGAATATAAACCTGTCTTCTTTTAATAAGAACACACTGTAAGCCTACTTCTGATACTATGGTAAAGGAATGAAAACTACTTGGAAACTTAGAGAACTCTTTGTCCTATCCTACTTTCTCTGCTGGAACCACAGTCAGTTCTTCTACTGGGATTTGTTCACCTATCCATGCCTGAGAGGGACAGAACTGATTCTGTGCATTATTTGGTACATCCATAGCTATATTATTCTATAATAAATGTCATTCCCATCTTATGCCATCATAAAGGTTACGATAAGTACCACAAAGATAATGAAACAATAGCATAATTTCAGTATGTGCAGCAAAGATTTGACTTAGGAGTTCAATGTATAGAAGGCCCCATCAAAACTTCACCAAACAAAAGCAGCACACACGTAAAAACAGAGTCTGGAACTTTGTCAGGAGGCCAGGCTCTCAGGAGCAGGGCACACGGCACCTTCTAAGGTCTAAGAGACCTTCCCCTCTATTTAAGGTCCTTCCTCACT